CCATCAACCTGTTTTGAATCTGCAAATTTTTTAATATTTCTGAATTCACATATATTTTATGATTTCTCAAACAGTTTTTTGAAAATTCACAACTTTAGAATATTAAAATCTCGAATTAATTTAAAGAAGAAAGAAAACAGAATGAGAAAAGAAAAGACAAAAATGAAAAATGAAAAAAAGGGAAGTGAAGCCCCGCACATGGGCGTCCCATAAAGGAATACATGGGTAGGACATGCGTGAGAAAAGAAAGATAAAAATTATGGAAGTTGGGGATCAAACCCTGGTCTCGTCACTTGAGGAGCGTCGGCCAACCAGTCTGCTGCCCGTCGTCTCGTGACTTCTACTCGTCGCGACCCTATAAGACAACGAAGGAGGAGGCCTTTTTTGGTCCAAAAAATTGAATCTTTTCCGACTTACGGGTGGCATTGGTGGAAAATTTTTACCAAGTTGAAGGATAATTTTAATGACGGACGACCAGAAGGGATAGCCGCTTTATATTACGATGAAAACATGTTTGCAGGTTGAATCATTTCTCTATCTTACTTTTCAGGTGACACATCATCAACGGACCAGGATAAGGCTTGGTCTAGTTTTAAGAAGAAAGGGAATAAGACCCTATTCTTAGAGTTCTCACCGAACAAATATGTGACATGGAACCCACGCGCATTGAGTATCCATTGTCAGAAGAAGTCGATCCAATCAAAAGAGCTGAGAGGTCTAACTTGATGTTGTGAACAAGCCCAATATTTACCTTACTAGGGGTGATTATCTTCGTTTCGGCATTGCTAATCTATACATTGGTTGTCCCACCCAAGTAACTGCTGAAGTGACAGATAACAGGTGAGCTGCAGGCCAAAGATTCTACTTGAAAGTCTGTATTGTACATTTAGTTTGTACTATACCAAGTATAATCATGGTTCTGTATTGCTTCAAGCACATTGTAATAGATCATAATACAGAACTCCTTCCATTTTGATGATTTTCTTCACCTGTACATAAATTGGACCCTCTTTAGTCCTCCATTGTAACCAAGAAATATTGGGTCACCTAGAATAATAATATGCTGATCACTATCCACGATTCTGCTCCTGATGTGATTTTTTTTCATAGTTCTCACTTCCTAGTTCGTCTCACATTTCCACAACCTTAAGAGATGGTCCGACTCATATTTTTGACTACCTACGGAGAAATACGGTTGATCTGGTTCAGGCAGCATGGCTCAGACCCCATGGTTCACCACAGGCAAAACATGGTTGACCGGGTTAAGAATGCATGGTTCAGACCTGTGGTTCACTATAAAGTAGACTGCATGATGTTTTCATAAACCGGGATTGACCAGTGTCGAGGGACTACGCCGTGGGACATGGATCGAAAATTACAAAACAATCAATTGATTGAAAGAAATTCAGATTATTTATAGGACAGTTAGTGAAACATAAACCCACACATGCATAGATACTCTGATAGATAAGCAGCTACAGCAAAAAAGGAAACTACAACAATGTAGCGGAAATAAAAATTCTACATCTCATAGGAGAAATCAAGCTAGTGAACATAGCTTCTAGTGAAGAAGTGCCGACTTCAGTTTTAGGCACTTGTACATCCAACTACAACTACAAAAATATCTAAACATTTGAAAATTTCAACTATAAGTCTATAACCCATAAATATACAACAAGTATAGCTGGAAGTTCCGGCTTGCCGAGAAAACCGTGCAGGATGAACTATTTTCCACATAATCATCTACAGGATATGCTTTGAGCATCAATAAATAATTTTCAAGCATATACTGCAATTTAAACAAAATCAGAACCTTCTTTAGCATTCACTCCTAAATGTAATCATCTTTTAATGCAGGTCTCGGCCTTGTAGTAGCCCACATTGTCCGCAAGCAACTGTAGTCGAAAGTAGTTTCACAATGGAAAAGTTACTACCAGAAATAAGTCTGTCCAAACACTATGTCAGGTACCTTGCAGATAAAAAAAAGTGGGAGACTAGGATTCCCTCCTGGCCCCCGCGTCACTCCCAGGGGGCGACTCGGGTGGCGAAACCCTAGCCGCCACCTCAAACTCCCCTCCTCCCCTCCCTCCCCTCGCCGTCGTCGGAGGATACCGGCGGGCGAAGCCCTCACCGGTGGACGGCGGCGGCGGGGCCCTCGTCCGTGAGCTCGCGTGCTGCTGTTTGTGCGCTGGAGCGGCGGGAGCGCGCGGTGGCGAGGCAGGCGGTCGTCTGCGCTCAGGGGAGGCCGTGATGGTGTGGAACGCGTGCGCAATGGCGGCGGCCGGCTGCTGCTGCGAGCGGCAGAGATGAGGGCGCCCAGATCTGGGTTGCGCGTTTCTGCCCCAACCCACCCGTCCCCTTCCTTCCACCCCTCCCGGACGCCGCCGGTGGTAGCCGCTGGGCAGGTGAGCACGCGTGCAACGGTCCTTGACGGCTGCTGCTTTGCTGTGCCCCGGCGGTTCCTGGCAGCGGAAGCTGCGGGCCGGCGCGGCGACGGCGCGGTGCAGATGGCTGCTGTCGCCTGCTCGTCGCGCTCCCGGCGGTGGCCGGCCTGCTGGCGCTGTGCTGGTCGGTGCTCCTCCTGCGACTACAACGTTCCTAGGCATCCCTCCATGTGTGCTGGTCTTCTCCGACGTTCTTCTCCAAGTCCGGTCTGCCATTGCATCTGAGGTCCTTGTTCATGGGTCGGGGCGAAATCCCCGCACGGTGACGGCCTGCGCTGTCAACGGCGACGCCCGAGGGTGCCGTCACCTCCTTGGAGGCGTTGGCATGACCCTGACCAGATCTCCTCCTCGAGCACCGGGAGAAATCCCAGGTCCGGCCTCCCGGACGGGCAGCGGCGGCGTCTCGGCGCTGTTCCCCTCTTGTAGGCGCTGCTTTGGCTGCAAGTGGAGTTTGATGCGGCAGATGGAGGCTGGTGATGCATCGCTCTGCCGTAGACTGCTACACAGGGAGCCGATCACAATGTATGCCAGCGCCCGCGCTTCCCCAACGATTGCTACACCAGTTCCCGTTGAGCCCTGCCCTTCACCCACCGACTCTCTAGGCACATGGGTGAGAGGTACGTTGGCCTGGGCAGTCCTGGAGCTGCAATCGTCCCTGGAGCTGTCTGGCAATGGCAGTGACGCCGCCCTGCTGGGCGAGGCCTAATGTCGTTGCGTGTCTATAGTTGAGGGCACCTCCTCACCTAGTTGTAGTCGCGTGCGTGCGTGCGTGCGTGGGTGTGCGTGTGCGTGTGTGTGTGTCCCTCCTTTCTGGAGGTTGTACCCCTGATGTCTTCCTATTCAATGAAATGAAACGCAAAGTCTCTTGCGTTTTCTCGGAAAAAAATGGGAGATGCATCATATGAGTTCATAAGAGTACTTATGAATATTGATATTGACATTATCCAGAAACGTGCAGCCAAAGCTAATGAAAAGGTTCATTATATATTTTAATTTTGTATTTAGTGAAAACTGACTTGGCACTTGACAT